CCCATCGATTTGTCACCATACCTGGGGATGTGCCCTGTCTCAGTGAGGCAATACAAGCAGCCACTGAAATCTATGGTGGGAGTCACAGCATAACCGCTAGGCTCCTGTTGAGTCCATCAATCAATGGCCCAGTCATGCATACATTGGGGTTGTTAGATCAATTGCAAGGGGCAATGCGAGTAAAACCTCAACGTGATGCTCACCCTGTCTGGGACAAGACTGCCACCAATTACCCGATTGAGAAGACACCCACAGACTATTGGACAGACCTAAGGAAAAATCAGATGAACCCTATCAGGTGATTTCAACAGGCTCCATTGCCACCATCACGGAAGCATCAAACCTTTGAGTCACCGCAGACATCTAGAAGACCCTCGTTTTGGGGGAGTTATTCGCCACCCCAGTGATCGTCAGCTGAGAGGGCCATGTTCGGGTTTCTTCTTCGCAAGACTGGATTAGCCAAAGAAAAACTGAGACTGCTGGGCGAGGATGGACAGAGAGACCTTGCCAAGGCGCTGGGTTTTACTGATTTTTGCGACAAGACAAAAAACGAATGAGTGCCGCCGATGTAAGTCTGGTGTTTGATGGCTATCCCACCTCTGCTTATCTATCAGAGGAACGAGAAATGGACAACGAGCAATGCCGAAACGATGATGAACTGATACCACCATACGACAACCCAAAACGGACCAAGTCCGAATTGATGAACAAACCGGAGCGAAGCCAATTACAGGAAAACAAATCGCCACGAACCAAATGTACTCATTCCAAACTCGAACTGAAATGTAACGACCCGAAAACATGTGAGTTATCGATAGACAAACCGAGCTACAGCGAATTGGAACTAACCGAACTGAAACGACCACAAGTAACGAGACAGATTGTAACCAAGTGAAGTGACCCGAGCCTGAACGAACTAAGAATAAACAAATCAAGGAGAATGAAAGCAACACACACTGAGTGAGACGAAGTGCAGCGATTCGTGATACCTGCACAAGTCATATTGAAGCAAAACGAAGCGACACCAGATGGATTGGAACTCAAGCGACGTATAAAAAAGACTGTAACTTTTGAACCGCCGACAGCATGCGGACACGACCCGATCGACACACGAGGAACTGAACACAGTACCCGAGTAGACGGTCATAGAGCTGTTGTCGCCGAAAACCATTCAGCATTTTGTAGCAACAATCTTCGAACTTATGCGTCGATCGAAGTACAGAACCCTGAAGACCTGCTTGACACTACAATTGCATGATTTTTGCTAGATACAGGAGCTCAGATTAATGTCATCAAGTCATCGGTTCCACATTACCGTACCAATCGAATAATGATGGTTCAGGGCCTCAATGCTGCCACGGCAACAGCTTGTGTCAAATTCATCGTAAAGGGCCACACCAAGCGACTAGATGCAGTCCTTGGAAGCATAAACATCTTAGAGATACCTGGCATTCACACTTTAGTGTTGAAAGATAAAGTATTAGAGGTACTACCCATTACGACTATCCCCAGACTGGAGTGGCATAAACCCGCGCTGCGCGTTCATTCTCCATGGTGGTACACACCAATACCGACAAAATCACATCTCTAGGACTCTTTAGACGCCTTACTAGATGATCTGGTCCAAAGTGGCTCAATCAGGTGGATACAGGCGAGTACCTACCTCTCCCCTGGTTGGGGGATACTGAAACCAGGGCGACTGAACACTGTACGACTCGTGGTAGATCACTGCGAGGCAAATAAAAGATGTGTTGTGCTAACTCAGCCCTTGCCCAGTACTCTACCACAGAGCCTATATGAAATGGCCAATTATCAAGCTCGTGACTGGGTAGGGACGACCATAGACTTGAGAAATATGTTCTTTTCGATACCCATCAATGACACTGAGGGTATCCTCAACATGTGTATTAAGGACAAGATATACCATTGGGAAGTATGCCTGCAAGGCTACCGTAACGCCTCTGCTTTGGCCACAAGTGCCATGAACAACACCCTCGACAGATTTGGTAAAGATAAATTAGTGGCGAATTCCATCCGGCTCTGGACTTACCTCGATGATATCGCCATAATGGGCCGGAGCGTAGCAGGAGTCGTCAAAGATACGACTGATCTAGCCCAGCACTTAATAGCCGAAGGCTGGACTATAAATAAGGAAAAAATCTCAGCTACATCCAACTGATGAGATAACATTTCTAGGGACTACCTTTACTCGCGACACCCGTAAGGGTGTAGCCCACAATGATCTCACCTTTGATTTATGTGACAATAAAATTTTGTCACGAAAGGTGGACTTCCAATCTATACTAGGGAGGTTAAACTGGGTCTGACATTTCGTCACTCCTGACCACCTTCCAACTATAGCTCGGATCCAGCATTAAATCAAAGAGAAAACCAGGCGCTGAACCCCCTGGACCCCGAGGGATGACAACAAGCATTGCAAAGCTTACTAATATCCATTTGGGGGACGAGACTCCATGCAATTGACTTCAGTGCACCCCTAACCGTTACGGTGGGATTTACAACAGAACACATCTTTATGACTGTCAGAAACACGGTTGGCAATCTAGTATTCTTAGCTCACCGTACCATTCGAACAAATCAGCATAGGTATGGTGCCATAGGCAAGACCCTTCTGGCCGCTTAGCTGGCGGAACCACTCGCCATTGAACAAGGACAATTACAAGAAGTAGGGGCGACTCTTGTACCCCGCCTAGAGTATGACCGACCCGATCCATGTTTCCATGGAGAGCCAGCCACTTGAAGTGCTCTAGTCCTGAACCGTTTGTATCATTGGAATGCATGGAGACATGATGATCTGCCGCCACCTCTGGCCATTGACGAATCACTGAACCTTACGCTATACGGGACGACACAGCCAGCTTGGATGGCATCGGATGGTTCCACCTGTGGGAATGGGAAGTATGGCTTTTACTGCCATCCATGCTGTGTACACAATATCCAACCTGGCTGTGAGTCAGCCCAACGTAATGAACTCCTGGCATTTCATGCAGTTATACAACACTGCCTAACGAATCATGATACGACTCTCCCAGTTCCAATCATTGCTATTGATTCTTGCTATATTTATGAAATTATAACCGGCACGGCTGAACCGACCAAGAATCTTGATATTTGGGAAGACCTGTACCGATTATTGTCGCAATTCACTGTCCGACCATTGATCCGACACACGCGCTCACATCAGAATGACACCGACCTGGTACATGCTCATATTGACAAATTGTTACAAGGCACGGCTAATGATGAGGTACTCACCATAGACAACGTCAACGACTCCGTTTGCATTGATCCACACCTCGCTTGGCTCCATGAGCGTTGGAGCCATCCAGGCCCCAAAACATGCTATTCCAAGTGGCACCACACCTTACGGGAAAGACCACGTTATGGTCTACATCGTGACTGGAGACGTGTCATCCAAGCCTGTGCAGCTTGTGCTAAGGAGAAAATACACCCAACGAAAAGCACGAAAGGAGCCCTTGCGAAAGATAAGTTTGCTCCAGGTCAATCCTGGCAAGTTGATCTTTTTGGCCTATTACCCGGGGCGTCAATTCCAAATAAGGGGCTGCTGGTTGTTGATTTAGGTTCCCACCAGATGACCGTCGTGCCACTCCGCAAATCCCACGCGACTGCTGTTATTACAGCATTAACGACTATCTTCACAATGTGGCAAGTTCCCACCACCATACAATCGGATGGCGGGCCTCCATTTACCTCGAACATCGTTGAAAAATTTGCCAAGTCCTATAACATCACGTGGCATCACCACCTCCCTTACCATCCCCAATCTAATGGGGTTGTTGAGCGGGCGATAGGGTTGTACAAGGAGGCACTCCGGGTGACTGGTAATGGAACCTATAAAAATTGGACGGCTTGAAGCCACGAAATTCTAATCAACTTAAATTTGACAAAGCGCCTATGGGAACGATCTACAGAAAGCCCAATCGAACTGTGGGAGAAGAAATTCACGGAGAACGAACGAGTATGGGTTTCCCTCCCAGACCATAAAAATCATCATCCCAAGGTTCTTTGAGGCATAATACAGTCTGCGGAGAAATACCCAAATACTTATCTAGCTGCCCTAGAAGACAGTGGACGTACCATCCTAGCCCACCATAACTGGTTGGCGTGATGGGCCACCACAGATACTGTATCATAATTTACTCGACCTGTACTTTGCTACTCTGTGCTCCCAGCAAGGGGGCAGTACATTAATAACTGTCTTTGCATTAAGTGCTGGGAGACACAGCTGCAATAGGCATGTAATCAACCAAGGAAATTTACCATGGTGCAAGAACCCGTGTTGTCTTGTTTATATTCTTCTTGTTTCAGGTTCGATTGCTACCAGAACGAGAGGGCGAAGTCCTAGGGCTGGCCCATCAGAACCACCAACAGAGTTACGGGACCAGACTGTCAACATGTCAAGAAGTCGAAAAGACTTTGGACTCTTGTGTGTCATGCTGTATATAAGTTATGAATGTGTTAATTCTCTGTATGTGAAACCCAACCAGCCAAAAAACTCAGTCTTGCATTTGCTGTCGATATGGGTCAATGCTACGGGGGATGATGGGACCAGAGACGGGCTGATGGCATGCCTAAAAATGCCCATGTCTGTCGAGGACCCAGTCCTCGCCCCGTATTTAAACCTGTATAATGTCTCTTCATGGTTCAGGGAGGTATCGAGGAGTCCCACGTCATATATAAATATCACTCAGGGACCACTCAATGACGGTAGTTTTGAGACTATTCAGTACGTTTGGAAGCCGAATTTTACGGTGTTCGATTTGTATGATGTAAAGCAGGGGAGATGTAAAAAGACTCACTTAGGAAAATCCCCCCATGACTCCGCAATGATATCAATTCCATGTGCAAAGATCCCCTGGGGAATGAATGCAGAAAAGGACAGCGAGTCCCGACCCGATGCCTCACAAAACTGGGACCCCTTATCCATCATACCACCTTGGATAGTGTTGTTTCCCCCTTTATCGGGGCTAGGACAAGTGCTCCCAGTTATCCGGGTTCCTTTAAATGTTCTGAAACCTTTGATAACCTGGAGGGTAACCTCTGCTGACAAGTATCTGAGGTATTATTATCCGGTCCTTTGGGCCCAAGTAGTCAGTGCAGCTTGTCATGGGTTACCACTTCATGTGGATGCCAACTATCCAGACCAGCTGTACCAGGTAAAAGGCAAGTGTTCTGATCTAAATACACCTGCCCCTTTGGGTCTGGCTTGGGCGTGTAACAATGGGAGGCTATGGACAAAACTCCTGGCTACCCTTTCGGGGGTTCAATGCTTCCTAGGTACAGTCATGTTCTGTCCACCGTTAAAAGCCCTGACAGCTCGTCCGCCCAGCCCTCCTGTATTATCCTGTCAGAAAAGGTCCACCCGCCAAGTGTGGAGCTCTCTAACGTATGGGCAAAGAATAACACAAAGTCTGAGCTGGGCTTCTGAGGGGCTATTCTTTTGGGGAGTAGGGATTACTAAAGCCCGTATAGCCCTGGCCCAATTGTCCGAACGAGTCGAAATACTAGTGAATGTCACAGCCACAGGGCTCAAATTTATTAACGAACAGCTTCAGGCAGCATCTCACATGAGTTTACAGAATAGATTAGCATTAGATATGCTGTTGATACAAGAGGGAGGATTGTGCCAATATTTGAATTTAAGTCGGGACATGTGTTGTATAGCAATTCCCAAAATCAGCATACCTCTACAGAATCAAGTCATTCGAATCCGAAAGATTGCAGAAGAAGTTAATGCCATAGCAGGTGTAGGCCAAGGATGGTTATGTAGACTCTTTAATTATATGGGTTTAAACGTTTCTTCATGGCTGGTAAACTTGTTGACGCCGTTACCGTCATTTTTGTTCATCATTCTTGTCGTTGTCGGGATAGTTAGTTGTATATTCCGAGTCATCTCTCGAAAGGTCGCTACTTTATCTGTGTGTGTGTATTCTGCGATCCCCAGTGATATAAGCCTTAATGACACAGACGGAATGGGAAAGGAAGGGGGAAGGCCGGATTCAGAAATCTAACCTGAAAGAATTCCGGTAAGGACGCCTCTGCATTGACAGCAAGGGGGCATGTCTTGGAAATTTGCTCTGTGAGTGCTGCCAGTGCAGAGGCTATCTGGTAAACCCCATGGTAATAGGCCCTGCATGTGACCTTTGCATGACCTGTGGGCCTGTCACTCATGGGTGACCTAGTTTTCCTGTCAGACGCATGCCCAGTGTGAGAGAGGGTAACAGTGCGCATGCCCAGTTCTGTTACATAACATGATTAGAAAGGTCTGTGGAGTATACATTTTGATTGGCCACCAAATTCTGATAAAAGTTTAGCGAGCCCCTCCCAAAGGAGGAGAGACCCATGTAACTGGAGACAGAGGCTGACTTCCTCAGGGACTGTCCTCCAGTTAGGCCCTTGGGCCTATTGGTCTCTCTCCCCGCCTGGCGTTCTGTACCATCCATTATTATTGTCAATTGTACCGATCTTTGGCTTCTGACCTACCCTTGCATCAATCTTCGACTACGATTCCAGATCACCCTTACGGACTTTGGCTGCAACCTCGGCGGGACTTACCTGGCCTCTAACTTTGGCAATCGCCTCAGCTACCCACTGGCAATACCGACGCGTTACAGTTCTGTTTCATTCTGTTTCTCCTTCATAAACTGTTGACCATCCCTGGGACTTACCCGACAGGCAGCCGCACCTATTCCCGGGCTTTGGCACCAGGAGTAGAAAGCAAGGGCCTGCCGGCGAACCCTGTGGGACAACAGGTCCCCCTGTTGTGTGTTGATACTGTTAATTGTAACTGAAGACTCCGTACCTGCGCCCTACCAAGCGTAAGTTAATAAACCCATTCTGTTAAAGAACATCCAGCTCCCGTGTCACTCAGAACTCCACCGCCGCTAGACCCAGCCTGTTCATTTGGGTTCCACTGTGACACTTGGGACCCTTCTCTGGGGAGGGAAACCCAGCATCTCCCACAACATTCTCGCAGGCAAGCTAAAGAAGTATAGGCTGGATGAATGGACTGTAAGGTGTATAGAAACTTGGCTGGAGCGTCAGCCTCAGAGAGTAGTAATCAATGGCTCAATGTCTAATTGGCAGCTGGTATCAAGTGGAGTCCCCCAGGGGTTGGTTCTGTGGCTGGTTTTGTTTAATGCCTTCATCAGTGACCTGGAAGATGGCATTACGTTCATCCTCAGCAAATTTGCAGATTACACCAAGCTGAGAGGAGTAGTAGATATGCTGGCGGGTAGGACTAGGACTCAGAGTGACCTAGACAAATTGGAGAATTGGGCAAAAAGGAATCTCATGAGGTTCAACAATGACAAGTGCAAAGTCCTGCACTTAGGACAGAACAATCCATGCACCAGTACAGGCTGGGGGCTGACTGGCCAGGCAGCAGCTCTGCAGAAAAGGACCTATGGTTACAGGGGACAATAAGCTGAATATGAGTCAGCAGTGTGTCCTAGTTGCCAAGAAGGCTAATGGCATACTGGGCTGCATTGGTAGATGTGTTGCCAGTAGGTCAAGGGAAGTAATTATTGTGTGGCCAGTTTTGGGCTTCCCACTACAAAAAGGATGCGGACAAATTGGAGACAGTCCAGTGGAGGGTGACAAAAATGGATGGGGCTAGAGGACATGATTTATGAGGAAAGACCGGTGGAACTGGGCTTATTTAATCTAGAGAAGAGGAGACCGTGAGGCGACTTAATAGCAGTCTTCAACTACCTGATGGGGGTTCGAAAGAGGTTGGAGCTACACTATTTCCGATGGTGGGAGATGACAGAACAAGGGGCAATGATCTCAAGTTGCAGCAAGGGAAGTTTAGGAAGAATTTTCTCAGTAGGAGGATAGTAAAGCACTGGAACAGATTACCCAGAGAGGTGGTGGAAGCTCCATTCTTGGGGGTGTTCAAAACCCAGATAGACAAAGCTTTGGCTGGGATGATCTAGTTGGGGCTTGTCCTGCTTTGACCAGGGGGTTAAACTAGATGACCTTCTGAGGTCCCTTCCAACCCTAACTTTCTATGACAATGACATTTTTTAATGGTCCCTATTCCATTAGCAAAAATTCTTTTTTAAATATTGTGTTAGTAGTAATTAAATGTGATACTTTCAGTAACATATTTATGCATGGAGTTATTAGCATCATTGCAACTAATAATGACTCTCTTTTGAAAACTGGTTGGTGGGTAATGGGGATGGGTTTTTGTGTCTGTCAGAGCAGTGTGTCTTGTACATTATAGTGCATATTCATGGACAAAATAATGTCAATAAGGACCTTAAAGATGTGACATCCAGCCATATGCAGTGATGTGCAATACCAGTTTTTATGACATTGTTAACAAAACTTGAAGTTGATGGAGAGGGTAAGGTTAAAAGTTGCGCCTGCTGAATGCTGACCCCTAGACATCTGGCAAAGCTGGAAAGCTTACATGAAGGTAAGCACAAGTAGCAACTCATTTTGAGACATCACATCCTACTTGTTTCCACTTTGTTACTAAGTGGTAATTCTTTAGAGAACTATTCTTTTGCCTATTAACTGTACTAGGGCAGTGGTTCTTAAAGCTTACAGGAAATGTTGTCTGCAAGACCCTCCACCACTGCTTGCAGCAACAACAAATTTGAAAGTTAAAACTAGAGCTGATACAGAGAGCAAAGTGTGATGTTGTCAGCAGCATGTTATGTGATTGAGATAGCTTCTTGTAGGCCCCAGAGAGTTGTGGGCTGCTGGATTGAAGTGCTGCATTTGCAATAATTTATTTCTGTAAAGTGGAGCAGATTGTGTGTGCAGTCTCTTTGATTGGCAAAAATAAACCACAGTTCTCAGAAAAGTTGCTCTGGTACTTTTAAGTGTAGAGAAACGTCCATCTAGTAAGCTACTGCCTGCCTCGGCAGTCTGACATATGTCTTCTTGCAACCAGCTGATTAGTTTCCTGGAGTCAGTTTTTGACTTCTCAGCAGTCACAGCTGGCAATCAGCTTTATATCTGGATGTCATGATGGCAAATGTCTTGGAACTTTTTGCACTAGGCAAAAGGAGTGACACATTTATCCCTCTTTTTGATGTAATGATGTATCTGCAAACAAAGCTTTCTAGTTTTCTTTGTTCTTAGTCTTCATTCTTAGTCTTCTTTATTTTAGTTTTTTTCTGTGAATGAGTTCTAAAACATGAGATACTATTTCTGATCTTGGCCTTTGTCTCAGAAAAATCCTAAGTATATGCTGCCAACGCAAAAGTTCTGTACCTGACATGCGCAGTTGAAGTCTGTGAGTGGAAAGTTCCAAGGCTCACCCAGCTCGTGCCCCCTGGGTGACCTGCGGACCTGTCAGTCATGTTTGACCTACTTTCCCCACAGACGCAAGCTCAGCAACAGCTAAAGCATGAGGTAATCTGACTAGAAATTTCTTCCCTGTGAGTGTTCTGATTGGCCACTAAATTCAAATAAAAGTTCTGTGAGCCCCTCCCTCGGGGGGAGATTGTGTTAGCTGGAGACAGAGGCTGGTGTTCCAGGGACTGTCTTTCAGTCAGGCTTCTGGGCCTATTGATCTCCTCC